CTTTTCAGTTCTTTAGCAGTATTGGAATGCAGATTTCTTTTCAGGTGAGTCCTTCTCTGTCTCCCTTGCCCTACAGCCATTGAGATGTGCTTAAACCACCTGTTTAATATCAAACTAGTTGACAAATCCAGTAGTTGAATTGTTGCTGCTGTGGAGTTCCTTGAGGAAATTTAACTTCTTAATTTAGTCTTGTGCCCCTTAGTGCTCTTTCTCCCCCGTTTTTGATTAATTACTGTTTATTGCCTTAATGTGTTTCCACACGTGCTGCTGCAGTCAGAAAACGGGGCATCTTCAGAAGTTCTATCCCTGTCACTTAGTTTAGAAAGCTTGGAATATAATTTTCTCCTTCTATTGACTGATATCAACAGAGCTGTTACTGCATCTCAGTGCTCAGAAGTAAAGGAAAAAACCCTGCTTCATAGATGAGTCTCTTGTACTTCTCATTAAATATGTATTTCTCTTGGTCCTTCCCTTGCTAAGATTGCATGGGCTTCATTCTCAAACCATTCTCAAACCTGTCCTTGCTGTTTGCCTCAGCGTAGAGCTTCTTGTGCCATCAGTTTGCCTGCAGTTCAATTTTGTGAAGGGTCACTCTTCCAACCTTCTGACGACTGCAGTGTCAAGAGGAAATCAGAGTATGAAAACAAGCCATTGGGAGCAAAAATTGCCATGACAGCCCTGGCCATCTAGCTTTGAGGTTTTGCAAACAGAGGAAGGAATGGTATTTCCATTTGTTTCAATGTCTTAACATTTTACAGGTGTCTGTAGCATTGGTAATGGCACAGCAGTGCATTTCTAGAGAGCAGCAAATACCTGCACAAATTGACTTTTTGTCAGTTGGGTAACTCACACTGCCCTTATTTTTTTTTAATCTATTCCTCCAATATCAACAAACTGATTTTCTCCAAGTTCCTATCCATAAAGAGGGAAGGGGGATAACTTCCACCATTGCCTGGAAGTCTGAAAATCAATTTCCTTGCTGCATTGCAGATATTCCGTATGATTTTGGCTGAGCTGTTTAATTACTTGTGTCTGTCCCCAGAGTGGGAAAGGGAGATGATAATGGTTTTCTAACCTGGGGATGTAATAACTTATTAATGTCATATGCTCTGGTGCTGTGACATAAGAATAAGGTATATCATGTTAGCTTTGAAATTGCCTTCTTAATGACCTCTGGTCTTATGCAGCCTCTTCAGAGAGCTTTTCGCATGTATGGATTCTTAATTTTTCAAAGGAGTGATGACTTATTGCTCCCAAAGTATAACCTTATGTTTTTTGTAGGTCTATCAGCAGCAACTTGGAAATCAAGTTCTTGTTGCATTTCCTTGCGAATGGCATATAGGAAAGCTTTAAGTATATCTGGGGTGGGCTAATTTCAGGGGCACAAAATCTAATTTAAAGGAAAAACCAATTTTCTTTGTGGTTTTGATAATGAAATGTTTGTTGAAAGCCTACAGGAGGATCTAATACAGCTTTTATAAATCTGTTGCAACTTGTGAAGGCCAGTTAAGTTGAAAGAAAGGAGCAGAATAGTGCATGACTCATGTTGATCATAGAATCAAAGACCTTAAAGATCATGCATGTGGTGTTGTCCTCTTGAATGAGAAGGGAACCTAAAGCTGGGAGGTGAGGTGGCAGGCTTTTGTTGACGCTGTTGCCATTGCATAGAGCAGTGAATGAAAAGCAAAGGGCTTCAGCTGCTGCTAAGTGAGCAAACTGGTGTTATTCAGGTCACAGAATCACAGAATTGTAGGGGTTGGAAGGGATCTCCAGAGATCATCGAGTCCAAACCCCTGCCAAAGCAGGTTCCCTACAGCAGGTCGCACAGGTCGGCATCCAGGCAGGTCTTGAACATCTCCAGAGAAGGAGACTCCACCACCTCCCTGGGCAGCCTGTTCCAGTGCTCCGTCACCCAGGTCAGCTAGATGAAGTATCCTTACTGTTGTTCTGCTACTGAGACTTGGGCTGTATCTGCACTATGTCACACTCCTTGCATGTCTGCTAGCTTGTAGGGACTATCAGAGCTCTTCATGGTGTGGGCTAGACATGCCCACGGTATTCTAGGTGGCAACTTCAGGCCTGTATTTCAGGTTCTGCTTGAGCATCAGATGGGATCTGGTACTAAGAGGGAGAGAACCATGAGCCATCTCTCAGCCAGCTGCTCAGCCAGCGAGCTGCAGATGTCCCCTAAGAGGGCTGCTCTTGGAAATATCATGTACAAACAATAATTAAAGCAATGACTGTTCTGAATACGAATTGGTCGGAGCTGGCTTTGGAATGGTATTTTCTACTGAATTTGAGGGGGGGGGATGGGAAAAGGAGAAAATGAAAATGAAAGCCATCTTTTCACAGAATGTTTTGTAAATACTGTGGATTTCTAAAGGAAAACCGGCCATCCAAAACACAGGGTGGTTTGGGTGGAATTTCAAAACCCACTTTTCAAATGTAAATGATATATAAAAGTCCAGAGGAAAAAAAGGGATTTTGGTTCTGCAGTCTTTTTTCCCTATTCTGATCCAGTCAGATTTTAATCCCTGTAGGTATAAAACAAGCTTTTGCAATAGAATGTTTTCTTCCTAATGGTGAGCCATCAGTCATTCAGTCATGTTGTATGCCAGCCTGCCCATTTTGTTTGGGATAAGCCAACCGACCTCAAGACCATGCAGGGACTAGTAAGAGGTGCCAAAACTGATGGGAGATGCTCAAGGCCTCGTGTTTGACACAACTAATGACACTGCTGATAATAGGGAAGCTGTGGTTTAGCATGGGCTTCCCAAAGAGCACATTGCCCAATGAAGGGGAAATGTTGCAGCAGAATTAATCGCTACCTGGGAAACAATTTCACGCTAGGCTAAACAGGAATTTAAACAGGGCTAGTTCACAACCCAAGCTTTGATTGTCAGGAACAACAAATAGGAAGAAAAGATGGTTAACTCAAGTTATGAGCATGTGTCTGGTCTGTAAATCAATAGTTGCCTGCTGATCATAATTCCATGAAGCACTTTGTGCAGCAGTTCTGTGTAAGTGTGCAACTGGAGCTGTGGGGAAGGAGGGGTGATCAAGTATCAAGAGGCAGTGAATGAGGGGATATATTGGCACCTTGCAGATGTAGGATGCAGCACAAGGCTGAATGCATCTCCAAAATACTCAGTTTATCTGCTTGCATCCCAAGGGCTTTGCAGAGCACTTCAGTCTGTGACAGATGTTCTTGGTAATATCCTCGGTTATTTGGAGGAGTGCAGATGGAAGAAACTTAAAATACATCAGTTCGATGGATCAGAAGTTCACACAGTACTGACTTTGGGACTATTTTGATGCTTGCTGAATCTGTACAGCTTATTTTTTTGGATTAGGCTGCTGTATGAATCTTGTGCAGTCAGCAACTGAAGCTGATATTGTGCAGATCTGTTTGGCTCTTGCTGAGGCAGAAGGAGGTCTTGAAGTTGGGGAGCTCAGCACTAAAAGAGGTCTGTGACAGTGTTATAGGACCCAATGCAACAGCTGCTGCTTGTGGAGGGTTTATGGCCATGTTGTGAAGCAGGAGCTGTGCAACTCCAGGCTGTCATTCTGCACTTCAAGGCAAGTCCTCTACACAAGTAGGAAATCTTTTTGGTGGGGAGGAAACTATCAGGCTATAATAGCATGTTTTAAATGGATGAATGGTTAGGTGCACACCTTGGCTAGCACAACAGGATGGTCCTTAAAGCTTCCTCTTAATATTTAAAGAGTACCTCAGCATCTCAAGAACATATTTGCTGTCCTTCCTTGTGTCATTAATGTGGGAGAGTACATCAGGCAACCGGTTCCTCTATTAAATGTGCCTCCACTTAGAGCTGTGTTCTGTGTTTGTATTTCCTTTTGAAAGGCTGGATCTTTCAGGGGGAAAAAAAAAGTAGATGCACTTAGCAGTGCTATCTCCTGAATGAGGCAGAACAGAAGAGATGCTATTATGTGCCATGTACCTGTAGTTGAAAAGAATAGGTTATTTTAACAATAACTTTAAAGCTCAGGCAAGTGAGGTTTAATCTCTTCTGTTCATTATAGCCAGATGGGATATAGCCCCAGAAACTGCAATATTCTCCTTAGTAATGTGGTTGAGATTCAGAAAGGCAATGGCAAAAGCTGGTCGATGTCATTGCGAAGGAGAGGAGGGCTGATATTTCAACACTTGGAAGAAAGGAAATCTGCACAACTGCACACATCTTAAAATCTTCAAGCACTTTCTTCTTTATAGGTAAAGTTGTGGCACCTCTATGGGAAGTAACAGCTAAAAAGATGAAGTAGCTATTGAGGCATTTAAGCCTATCAGAAATAATGGTTCTGAACTATTTCAGAGTCATTATTCTGGAGGGTGCATCAGTATTGTATGTAGAACTAGCATTATTTTCCTGCTCTTAGAGAATACTTCTGCTGCAGGGCATCTCTTCAGCTCCAACTTGCACAATATTGTTGCACAATACAGGCTGTACATAACTTCCAGGGATAAATAGGCACCCAACCATTTCTGACTGGCAAAATAAGACTGAAAGGACCCTGAAACCAAGATCATGTTGTTGTTTTGACTCGTTTAAAGAGGCTAATGGCAGTATTTCTGGAGATGGATATAATGAAGCATAAATGTCTGTTTCTCCTGGTCTGAGGCAAGTAGTACATTAGGGCACAAATGCAGGAAGAAGCTAACAGTAGCAAAAGTTGCTTGAGCTCATGCTCTGCCTTGGTAACTGTTTTCAGACTGCTCTTGCCACATCCACCTGTCAATACATGTGTCCTGGAAAGCCAGACTCTCTTCTGAATACTGTGGAAGAGCAGATTAAATATGTAGCACTTAGAATTGCTGGATTTCGTGTGTGAAGGAACAGTCTGGCACACAGGTGTGTTGAGGTGGTACTGCGAGCATCCTCAGCAAACCTTGTGCTGCCTGCAGGGCTGTAGCATGTTCTGTCTCTGCACTCAGGTAACTACACTGTCTGTTTAATATTTAATGTTTTTTTGCCTTTCAGTTGAATTCCTGGTGGGGTATCACTAGTGTGAAGTCTCTGCTCCTGGCTGAACAGGCACGGTGGCTTCGTCTGTCCTGTTAGAAGCCGTTCATCACTTTAATATCTGAATCGGAGGATTCCATTAGAATCATCAGATTTTGCCAGTACTTCACAATGTAGAGCTGCAAACTCGCCGAGTGCCTCTGATGGGTCATATGAGGTCCCTTAATATAGCACTTTACAGCCTTTGATAGATTACCAGCCTGATGTTTTTGAAAGGCTGGGTTTTTTTTCCTTCCAAATGTCTTTTCACTCTACATTCTGCTGCTGGCGCTCACTGCAGTATTTTTTTTTCCTAGGCTTTGACACTTGTGCTGCTACTTTGGCCTTGGAGACTTCTGACACAGCCCACTTTCCTGAGTAGAGACCTGTTTGCAGGGCCTTGGCAGGGTTTGAAAGGCATTGCTTCTGCTCCTGTGTTGCAGGTTCAGCCTGGGTTTCAAGAGGGTGCAAGAGGCTTCAAGAGGCTTCGTGGTTTCCTGAAGGGAAAGTGACAGGTGCCACATTTCTTTGTGCAAGTCTGTAACTGTGTCATGGCATTCCAGTACTTACCCCAAGATGAGTGATGATTGTACTAATTAAGAACTGAAGTGGAAGGATATGAGAAGGATGCAGTATGGGGTGTTTTCTAATAAAACTGAACTACTTTGGCAGCAGCTGATGCTGCTTTTCTCATGGCAGCCTTTATTTCCCTTGTAAAACCTAGAACATTCTTTCAAAACCAGCTCTGGTGCTGGGAGGAGCACGTGCAGTGCAGAGCAAGCCTTAACTTCATTTTACTCTCTGTATCTTACAGAAGTAGAAGCTTAGGCTTTCTAGACTCCTGTCCTTTGTTCCTCTGTGGTTTGCTGCATGCTTTTGAATCTGTTACCTTGTCATAACTGTATTTACTGGGCGTCAGACTGCACTGTTACAGCATCTTATGCACATGCATGTAAAGAAGTAGGGGAACATCAGCTGCACTCAACAGCTGCTTGGATCTCTACTCTCTGCAGACTAGCATTAAGTGACCACATTTTCCTGTATGTGTCAGACCGTGTATGGGTCTTCCACTCCAGTTTTAGACATAAAGAAAAGCTTATCTACAGGAACATATGAGCCCTGTTGCAGCTGGGTAGTTGACAGCAGCGTTCTGGAACGGCAGTGCTGCAGTTTTTCTTACAGTGGTGACACCTTTTATTTATTCCAAGAAACTATTTATTCACCTCTGCAACAGAGCTGCAGCTGTGCTGTTACACCCCAGGTGTACTTTGCTCATATTTACATAACCCATCATTAACTCATCTACTGAATGAACCCTGATTTGAACATTGAGCACCATGCAGCTCACCTCCTCCTCCTACTAGGAGTTGAATGGAGGTGTTTATTAGTCCTGTCTTGCTTGTCCTCCTAGAAGTAACTCATTCTGAAGAGCTTCCTCAGGGATGGTTTTGGAGCCTGCATCATTTATTCTTTTGCCACTGTTTCCCATGCAAATTTGCAGTATTTTTAGGAAGTCCAAGCTGAATTGATTCCCCTAGGTTTGCCAACAGATCAGTAATTGCTTTGGGGGAGGGTTGCTATTTACGGGGTCAGAAAACATTCCTCTGTTTTAAGTGAAGGAATATAAAATTAATGAGGCTGCACCCACTGGGAAAGTGACATGCCTGTTTGTTTTATTAACAGCAGACACAGTTTTATTAGAAAAAATCAAAGTGGAAAAAGATCTGCTGGGACAAACACACAAGCGTGACTCGAGCAAGGTCAAATCTCTTATTATTCTGGTCTGATCACACCAGAGCTGAAAGTGAGCTGTGCTGTTGGGATTCACACCTGATCCATTGGTTAGTCTGATGTTCAGCATTCTCCTGATCCTGTCCCAACTTATCAGCAGTGTTTGTTTTGTTCCACTGGCTGATCCTATACTAACACTTGGCTGCAGTTGTCTGGCTGTTAAAACCCTGATGCTTGCTGGCAGGAAATGCTTACTGTGATTCTTCTCTTAAACAAGAGATCGTGGAGGACTGGGGCCCTTGAAACTTTCTCAGGGAGAAGCCAAGCAATTCTTTCAGAGCACAGTGTGCAAACAGAACAATTTTGCCTTCTTTATGGAGAAATAGTAGGATCTTCCTGTACTGCTTTTCCAGAACGCTTTCTCTGCTGCCTGTAGGCATTGCTTTAGCCCACAGTGGAGCTGCAGCCAACCCTGCCTTCGTTACTGTGTGCACATTATTTTCTCTCTTTGACAAGCTCTCTCCACATTTGCAGTGCTTCCTTTGGCCAATTTCAGCAGTAGGTTGGTGGGTAGCAGGTTCTGGTCTCTGCTTTTATTTTTCTGAAGTTGGGTTTGATTCGCTGAGCTAACAAAGCAGTAGCACCAGGTCAACATCAGTGATTACACTTTTATTGTCATAGCGATGATCAAAACATATCTGTTAACCCATCCCCCCCATACGCTTCCCAGACCCTGTTTAATACTGCAGTAGTGAAAACTTCAGAAGGTGACATCAGCTTTTCAAGGTGGTTTTGAATCTCCTTTTTGATACCTAATCTGCAGTGATGGTCATCTGCCTCTGGAGGTGGAAGGCAGCAAGGGCACTGCGGGAATTGAAGGGTTGTGGGCAGTGGGATTAAAAAGGCCTTTAGCCTTCCTAGCCCTCTCTTGCTAAGGGCAGTGCAACCAAATATGAGGTTTGGAGCACTGCCTCACCAGAATGAAATTTCTGTTAATTGTGATGCGATTATGTAATTTAACAAACGATGCCTGAAGTCTCTCAGAGTGCAGCTATCTAAGAAGGCCCAGACGGCTTCACATCTGGTGATGAAGCAGGCTTTATGAAATTTTGGAAGCCCTGTGATGATGTCCAGGAGCAGAACTGGACTGTTTCATAACTGTCTGCATGCCAGAGAAAATGGAAAGCCGTGTGAGAGTGATACAAGGGAAGGGTTGGTCTGTTCTGACCCAGCCCTTGTCATGGGCACAGTAGTGGGGAAAAATGCTCTGGCACGGTGCAGCGTGTTCTGAGTTGGGTTTAGGGTGGGAAAATCTGTAGAAAATCCAGAGTGTTTTGCTATTGATTTCTCTAGAGCTGGGGTTCTTCCCTCTCTTTCTTCCTCTCTGCTTTTCCCTGCTCTGCTCTATGCTGCCCATATCCATTGGTTGCTTTCATTGGGGCCGTTGGAGGCTGTGTGAGGAAGCGGTGCTGCGTCTTAATCTAAATTTGCCTGGAGATCTTTCTGTTATTCGATGTTATAAGCGTTTAATTTCTCTTCTCTCTCTCGGAAGTTTATTGCCTTTGTAAATTCACCATTTAATTTTGTTAGTTTGGTAGGGATAAAGCTTAGCATGCAAAACAGCATGCAAGATAAAGCAGCGGTGCAATTTTACGCTGCTGTTTCACTGCTGTTGTTTCCTCCCAGAAGAGGAGAGTCTTTCATTTATCCACGAAGGATGGCTGAACTTTACGTGTGTGTTGGCACCTGACTGCAGTGGTGCATGCACAAATTTTGTGGTCCCTTGTTTAAACCTCACAGCTTGTCCTTCAGCACTAATAATAAGAAGAAAATAGGCTCTGTGTCACTGCAGCGCCTCTGAGAGCATCTGCAGCTCTGTGCTGAGGAGCATTAGTGCCTTGTGATGTTCTGCCCTGTGTTAGCAGGTGTTTGGGATTCAGGTGCAGTGGGGTATTGCAGCCACCCATAAGCTGATGTGAATTATGGATGGTGTTTACTGGGATCATTATGAGAGATTTGCAGAGTTTGGGGTTTTGTTTTAATAGTGTGTGTATAAATATGTGCATGCATTGATGTATGAAAGCTGTGGCCCAGCTTTGTGGCTCTAAAGGGGAAATATTAATGTGTTAATCCTCAGGCATTTAAGTAGAACTATCTGTATAATAATAAGGAAAAAGGAAGTGGATGGGAGGGAGCTCCACCCTGAGCAATCCATGTCATTCCTGTCATTTTGTGAGACAAGTGGTGGCTTGAAGTAGAAAACTGCTTGTTTGTGTAGAGGAACAAAACGCACTTTTTGATTTAAACTTGCAGATCTTTTCCTTTTGCATTAATGAGAAATCTCCTGAAGCTGTTGAAGAAGTCTTTTTTTTGTGTGTGTGTGTGTGCAAATGCAAGTAATGAAACCATTCTCCATGTGATTCCTGCTTCTTGCCTCTCCCCACAGTTCTGAGCCTTTTGTGCCTCCCTTCCCCTCTCCCTTCCCCCCCTCAAGAAGACATGGTGTGAAATGAGATTTGCAATTTTGGGTATTTGCGTATTTTTCATTTAGAAAGGGGACGTTTTATGAGGTTTGATGGCTGGGGGTGATTGCCTGTGTGAAATGCTAACTAATTTCAGTGTAACTGATTGCACTTTTCAGCAAGGTGAGATGTCTTCCCTGATATTTTAGGTGAAGAACAGGTAGGCACACACACCCTTCCTGCAATAGGTAGGTAGTGATGCTGCTTACACATCCAGCAGTCAATTACTATTGGCAGTGAGCTGAGCAGGACTGATTTTTGGTGTTCCAGTCAAGAGAATTGGGGCCTTTCTGCTTTGTGAAGAGACCTCTAAGCTGAGTGGCTCCTTTAGGATTGACCCCACAGCTCCAGACAGTTTGGAACTTGTTCAAAATGCAGTCATGTCTGCTGAAGCAATAGGAAGTTGTTGGTCTGGAGAGGATGAATACATCGGTGCTGGAAGCTGCATTAGTGTGTATCCCAAAGGAATGGCTGTGCCAATGCTTGCTAATCCTAAATGCATGCAGCTGAGAAGAGGACACACCTATTTATTTTCCTTGCTGGAGTCTCCTTCAGGTATTTGCACGTTGCTTCCAACAGCCCAGGTTTATAATTCAATCTGCATTTATTTGCTTCTTGACAGAAGAAGATAAAGTAATAGCAATGCTCTGTTTTCTTTCTAGCCAGGAATAGATAGCTGCAGCTTATCCTCTGGTATAAACTGTGCAGGGTTTCGTGGTGCTTCAGATGAATGATGCTGCTGCTCTGTGAAAGTAAATCCTGGTGTCCTGGAGTGAGTCTCAGGTTGTGCTGCTGTTTTATTCTGTAGCAGCCCAGGAAAGGAGTGCATCAAGCCTGATTTGTCTTCTTGCTGATGCCAGAAGTGGCTGTGGCAGAGACAGATGAAGTGGGAGGATTGAAAATTGATGCAGACCCAGCAGATGTCAGAATTTGGGCTGAGAGGTTTGGAGTTGAGAGCTGGGGAGCCTGGATGACGAGGTAGGACTTTGTGCTGTAGCAGTGAGTGACGCACAGTGAGGTACTGACCCCTGCAAGCTCTGTTTCAGCAGGTCACAGGGAGCAGTGACCACATCTGAGCACCAAGTTTGTGTTCCATCCCCCAAACGAACCATCAGCCATGCAGCAGATGCATTATTTTCCTTTGTCTTGCAGTGGTTGTGGCCTGTGAGTTACCTGTGCATGGATCCAAGTATTCTACAGTTAATTAGGGAAGTGAAAATGAAGCAGTGTGAATCTTCCTAATTTTCTCTCCTTTTCCGCCTTCCATTGCATCTTCTGTCTTCTCTGAACTTTCTGAAGTACAGGGGGCAAGCAGGTCGAAAATGGGAAGAGAATTAGAAGCACTTGGCCTGGTGCCTGCCTTTACACTGTGTTGATTAGGTTTTAATTGGCAATTCTTGCCTGTAATATAAGATAATTGCAGAGATTTCCAGGAATTGTTTGTAGAATAGGAAGAAACAGACATATCTGAGTTGTACTGGAGGAGCTTAATTAAAGACTTTATAAAGTGCAACAGATGGTGCTTTGCTAGTTAGAAAGACAGGCGTGAGCCCTGTTTGTGGATGTTCTCCCACCATGGTTAGGGCTTAGTTTATTACCATCTTTTAAGGTTTTTTTTGACAAAAGGGCTCCCCAATAATTCCATGTGAACCTACAGGCAGCCTCATTCTGGCTCTTGCCTGCTAGTGGAATTGCATCAGCAATGAAACTTGGAAGACAGAAGAGTATTTTTCCTTCTTTTGCCAGTAATCGATCTGTTTCCAAAGCCCTCAGTAGTATTGGGCTTCCAGGAGGTTCTCGAAGCAAAGAGAGGATATTGTGATTTATAGGGAGAAAAAGGATCTCTTTGCAGTTTCCACTGGAGCAGGTGCTGAATCTTGAATTTTTTATGTTACTTTTAAAAGCAGGAGAACACTTTTTAAAAACAAGGCTGCTCTGAAGTAGAGTGTGCATGAAATGGCTTCGGGATATGTTCTGCTTGTTTTGCTCTTGCTGCAGAGCTACAGGTTCTCTTTGCTCCCCAGCACTGCCAATGCTTTCACAAAGTTTAGTTTTGTGTTTCATCAAAGGGTATTTCTTGGAACAGGAAAACTTAGCTAGAAGGCAGTGTGCGTTACAGGGGAGAACGGAGTTTCAGGAAGAATTCACTTGGCTTTTTCAAATTCCAGGAAGAACCTGACATTGCAGAACAAACAGTTTGCAAGAAGGAAATATTTCATGTAGACACTGAAGAACAACTCTGTGACCCTGTGGGGTTATCTTTCTGAGCAGCCAGACGGACGTGCAAGATGATGACAAAGAGACTTTCAATCTCCCTGCCCACGTGAAGGTATACATTATCTCTTGTTTAAATGAGTTTTCTCTTTTTAGCACCAGCACTGTAGGGTATTTTCCACTGTTGTACCTCTTGAGCCATCTCTCTGCTGTGTGGTGTTCATTTCACTCCAGGCTCTATTGGAAAGTGATTACGTGAGGGGGATTTGGTTACAGTGGGCATCAGCAGAGGCAACACCAGATGTTCAAGAAATGCTTTCAGCATAACATCTGAGCATTTCTTTAACAGTTGTTTACCAGCCCCATGGCTAATGCTTTGAGTTGGCTGATCTTGTTCTGTAGCCTTAGGACCTTCCTGACAGGTGAGTGGATAACTTTCTTATTCAGACAGACTTGTTGTTGTATTAGTGCTGACACTGTTACCTTCTGAAGGCTGTAAGGCATTAGAGATGACAGTTGTTTAGCTTGCTCTGGTTATAAGCTCTTGGGTCTGGCTGCAGTTCTTTCAAAACCATGAGTGGTTTTTTTTTGTGTTTTGTTTTTAATTAATTCATGGGAGGAAACAGGCAGAGAAGGGGGGATGCTTTCACCAAGAAGAGCTAATTCTTAAAACACAGGAAGGAATCAAATGTGACAGTTTTCAGGTAACAGCACAAAGATGCTCATTTGAGTGCAGAACAGACAGCTTACTCTAAGAAATGAATGAATAAAAATAGAATAAATGAGATATATTTTCTTCTGCTTTCTTATAGGGACCTCTTCCTCCTCACCAGAAAGCAATGTAGACTGCCAGACCCAGTGTCACATAGACTGCAAGCAGGGACATTACTACACAGCTGGCAACTGTTTGGAATGTCCTACAGGCTACTAGTAAGTCTCTTTCCTTCCCTTTCTCTCAGTGCTTCTGCTCTTGCAAATAAGCAAGTTAAACTTTGGGGCATTTGCAGCATTCTGTTAGGCTGAAAAAATGCGGAGAGCTGTCTTGTAATGTATGAAGTGTAGTGCTAGTTTCTCATAGAAATAATCAGCTGACCATGAAGACCACTGTCTTTGGAGCAGAGGTGCTTTCTGGGGCTTTCTGCAGTGATTGGAGCATTCACAGCTCCCCTTGTAATCAGTGATTGTTCTTCCTGGGAAGTGTCAGCTTGACAAAACCAAGTTCCAGTTGGAAAGCCATCCTAAACTACACTGTGTCATTGACTTGTGGTGGAATGCACTCCACCTTCCTCAGGAGAAAAACACGAAGGCTGCATTCTCTGCCACACCTGGCTCATTCAAATGCAAGTGGTGGTGGCCACCTCAGAGTTGTCAGGTAAATCTCAGGCCAAGATTGCAAAAGACAGGTTGACTTGAACCCTAAGTTTAGGTTGCTAGGTCTCCTGCTGCAAATTGTGCCTGTGGATGTGCAGTCCAAGCACTGCATCTTATCTCCTGGAAGACTAAAAATGTATCGGCTCCCATTGAGATTCTGGAATGATCTGATTTGAATTCATCATTCTCTGTTTGAGTAGATGGGGGTGGTCTTGTAGCTGCACAACACCATGTTGGCTTTTAGGAGGTGGAAGAGGTTGGTTTTAAAGCTCTCGTTATTTTTGTTCCAGTTGCCCTGGGGGTCAAAAAGCTCCAAGGAAATGCCCACTGGGAACAGCCAATGAACTTCCAGCTCAAGTGGACATCACAGCCTGCCAGGTAAGCAGATGAGCAGGGAAGGAAAGCAGGCAGGTGGAAGTAGTATTTTCCACATCTCTACATTTGCTGCCACATATTTTGAATCATCTCATTTCGAGCTTCAAATCAGATTTTTCAATTTGGCTTGAGATTTTTGGGGATAGAAATGATATTTGGCTTTGTTTTGCTCAGAGCAAGCCGTGTGTCCATCCATGTGGACAGTGTGCAGCACTGCCTTGATTCCTTCTTTACAGTACTGATGGTGAAAAGTTGGGAACTCTCTGGGAATGCTGTAAACTGAAGGGTTTGTAGAAGAGTTCTGTGAAGCATTCTGTGAATCTGTGGAACTCTTCACGGTGTGGAGGCCAGATGTTGAAAATGATCCAAGATCCTTTCTAACATTTGAGCTGCACGTGTTCACGAAAAGAATACGTTTGTCTGGATCTGATGCTGCTTGTGGTTACACTGCAGGTCTGTCCTGAAGGCTATCTCAGCCTAGAGAGTGGAGCTGGATGTCATGCGTGCCCAGATGGCTATTCGTGTGATCCACGTAGTGGTGTGCAGAGGAGCTGCAGTCCTGGCCAGTATTCTCCAGAGGGAGAATCAGAGTGCCTGGGATGTCCAGAGAACCATGTCTGCCCAGATGGAAGGAGCAGGCAGGTACAAAAACAAGCATGTTATTTTTCAAGGTCGACTTTTCTGAGAGGTGGGGCCTGAACATGAATGTCTTGTCAGGATGCACGTTTTTTATCTAAAATTGGAGATTGTAAGTGCTCAGATCTTCTGCTTTCTGTTAAAACTCTCAGCTGAGGACCCAAAGGAGCTTGGAGTGAGTTTGTTTCTAGAAATTAACCCTGAAGGATAGATCTGAGAGAGTGCTGGCAAGGAGGAGAAGGCAGAGAAGGAGGAAGCACAAGAAAGAATGCAGTACTGGTTCATGTCCTGACTCAGGTCTCCTTTGGACATAGCTTTGGGCATCAGGGGCCCATTGAACCCATTGCTGTGTGCTTCTGTTTCTTCCCCTTAGCGCTGTTTGGCCGGGCAGGAGCCAGATCCAAGCCACACTCACTGTGTTACCTATGCTCGTGGTTCTGTCTCAGCTGAAGACACGCTGATATGCCAGCCCTGTCCTGCAGGTGAGTGCACCTCATGAGCATCATCTTTAGTCATTAAGACAGAAATCGAAGGAGGCTACCTGTTACCAGAAAGAGTTCTCTTCAGCTTTAAAATCTGTCCTGTCCTTTATACGTTCTAGAGAGTGAATACAAGCCTGCTGAGGATTTCCTAGCCTAAGGTTAGCTTTCTGTTGGGATCTTCTGTGAAAAGCGTGGGGCTTTGGTACACCCTCAAGGGCCTCCACACAAATTCTATTCCGTTCCTTTTTTGCAGTGCTTGGTAATAGGAAATATTTAGTGCTGCAGGTAGTGGTGCTATTACTGATAATTCCCTGCACGGAAATCAGGTTTTAATTCACATTTTCTACCCAACAGAACCCAAGAAATATGGGCTGACAGGGCCAGCCTGCTGTAGCTGTGATTTTGCAAAGGAATATTTAATGTCACTGCAGGGATGCTGTTCACAATCTGCAGTCCTACCAAGCCATCTCCTCCCCTCTAAGCCCTGTCTTGCATGTGAAGATGAAGTGTTTAATGAGCAGTTCCTCCTGCAGAGTCACTGAACCTAGTAACTTGATTCTTACATCTGTAATTAGAATCCTTTTTATTAAATAATGAAGAGTTCCTGTACTTTTGGATACCTTGTCTCCTAGTAGATGGAGAAATAGAATAGCTACAGAGATCATGCCAGACCAAAACCTCAGTAATTTATTAGATCCAGCTATAGTAATACACATGACAAAATAGAGGAGTTTGCTGTATTTCCAGTGTATGAGATTGTGTAGCAGATAAGTAAGCTGTTGTACACAAGCTGTACAACAGCTTGTTGAGGGAAGTGATGATGTCTTTTTATCATATAATACTTAATTATTTTTATGGTGTCCTATAGAGAGTCAGGGAACTTATCCTGACTCCGTTAAAAATAATCATCCAGGAAATGCTGTGTTCTTTTGACTTAAGGAACCATTTATAGACCATGCTTACTAGAATAAGAGCTGTGGGCATGTCAGTGCATGGATTTCACAGTGACAGATTTGCTGCTGTGTTATTGTTTACGACACAAGATCAACCAAAGGCTGAGGTCAGATTTCAGCTGAAGTGTATCACCAGCAGAACCTGGAGAGAGCAAGTGAAAATCTCTCAGTAGATGATCGATGAGGTAAATAGATGCTGTGTATCCAATGCTGAAATTCAATGTTTTGGTGTTAAAATTAGTCCTGTGTGTTCTAATGGCCATGTTTTCCATCAGCTCTTGTAAATCAAAGTAAACGATCCAGACTACTTGCAAAGATGGTAAGGAGCTTCAGTGCCATCACAAGCCAGAGAGGCTTGAGGGTTCTCAGCGTTCTTTTGCACGGTTTGACTGACTTTAATTATATATAATCTGTGTACTTAAGTGTTGTGTGCGTGTGAGTGAAGAGTCATTGCTGTGCTGATACATGGCAATATATTTCAACATAGCAGTGGCAGTTTTATTGCACAGTTAAATCCTTTTTTTTTTTTAACGCTCTTCAGATGATCCATCTGGAGTTTAGTAAAGCATTTGATATCAAGTCTTACAAAATCTTACTTGGGAAAAAATAATTCATTCTAGCTGAGCACGAGCATTTCATCACTGAGTGTACAACTGGCAGAAGGGCTTTAAGTGAGTTGTTCTAGGACACTGTTTCTAAACCACATGCTTTGCTCTTTCCTGTAGGTCACTTCTGTGCAGGCAGCCTTACAGACACTCCTCCATGCCCAGCAGGGAACTACAAACCCAAAGAGGAGATTCTCATGCCCAGCAGCAGCTCCTCGTTCTTACCTGGTGTGTGTCATAATATTTTGCAGTGGGAGTAATAATTCTTGCTCTAAATCACAGTGTGAAGTACATGTTTATGAAGGGATGATGGCTACAATGCTCATTTGCTAGGTTCTCTTTAAGGCTGTGCTAGAGCTGGATGGAAGGAACATGGAATCTCCTACAAATCACCAGACTGGCAGTGTAGCATCAATTAGTTATTAGTATTGTACAAAATACAATATGTTTGGGTTGTAATTTCTTGGGAAGAGATTAACCATGAAAAACAAAAGTCTGTTGAGAGAGGCTGCAAATAAACTGTGTCCTGCATGTGGGAGAGCTTTATTTATTGTCAGTAGCGCTGTCTTTTTATTGCTCAGCTGGCACTGTGCAACCACTGCCCTCATCTACTCAGTAGGGTGAGCAAATCCCTGGGGCTACTGCATTTATCAAAGCTAAAGACAGTTTATCTAGAGGTATCCAAGCTGTAAAGTTAACCTTTCACATGTAGGATAGCAACAGCCAGGTTTGCAGCATCTTTTCTAGCATAGAGACTGAAAGGGTTTCAGAATCTGCCTGTTTAGAGAGGTTCTGGAGAGAAATGTGCCACTGAAGGAATCGAGGTGAGACAGAAGGTGTACAGTTGGAGACAGGAAGAGAAGGGTGGAAAAAAATGGCATGGTAAATATAACCCTTCTCTCCAGACACTCATGTTGTAGTTGGGCCACTATGGAAGAATTTGCTGGTGCAGGGGGCTTACAAAAAACAGAGCGTTTGGCATAGAGCTCCTTTTAAAATAGTTCATTTAAAGGGGAGAAGAGGCAGCATATGTGTCTTGTCAGCATGCAAGATCACACCCAACACTGTGCACGAGTCATTGTGTGTACAGTGTTGCATTGGAAATCAGTTAGCTTGATTCAGTCTGCTGTGTCAAGGCTAAGCCCTCCAGCAAGCAGGTCACAGTTAGGAGTTTCTTTCTCTTGGTGTGTGAACGTAAGGAGGGGTCCACAGCTGTCACTCAGCTGGCTGGATCCCACTGGATATCCGGTGCTTCCATATTTCTACAGTATTCTTGCACTGAGGTCACTCCTGCAGTGACCCTCCAGTAATAAACAGGCTTATTTTATTCACCAATGGCATCTGTTAGAACAGGAGATGAGTGATGCAGCCAGCAGCCTCTGTCATGACACTTGTCCTAATGAATGACACCTCTAAGTGAAAGAAATCTTTCTGTTTTTAATGGAATGGACTGCATGAACAGCTGCCTGTGAAAGAGAGGACACCTTCATGAATGTGTGCAGCATGAGGACTGGGGGCCCAGTCCAGGAAACTGTTGTTGGTTGGCAATTTATAAAGAATTGATGGAAGTTTTTCGCTGTCTCAGTAAAAAGTTTCAAGCTGACAGAGCTGGAATGGGGATTTTTAGGGTCTGATCCTTTTTGCCTTTTGGTGCCAAACCTGAAGGATATCGTGCAGCTTTACTTTCTGTAAGAGACACAGCTGGCAGAATCAGGAACCAGATGGACTTATCTGAAATAGAAATCCATCCCATATTAAAACATGACCTTCAAAGTCCTGTTATTAGCAGAACTAAAGCTTGGAGTAGGTCTACAGAGCTGCTGCATCCACAGACGTTTACTGTCCACCTCATTGAACTCCTTGTGTGGATGTGGACCATAGCACTTACATGTCTACCCTGTGCAGAGATTTCTAAGAAGCTTCAGCAAAGAAAGAGGTGGTAATTGCACTTGCAATAGAAATAATTAAGAAGCAATCTGAAATTACGTGTTCAGTGTCATCCAGCAGGTCTGTTACAGAGTAATGTGGTAAAGTCAACTGAATGTCTTCCATTTTTCAAACAGATGCTCCATTTGTATGCATATGAATCAATCAAAATAACGTCAGCTCATTTTTGCAGCAGGGTGAAATTGCACTACAGATTAGTCAGAACTTTTTTTTTCTTTTAACAATAAATAAACACTGCAATTTAAACTTTCAGAAGCTGTAGGAGCCACAGGTGACGTTCTGATGTGTTTGCAAGGACATGGGCACAAGGCTTCCCCTGCAATTCTCACATGTTTCTTAGGCCAACTCTGATTTTGAACATTCTGGAGTACCTCAGGGTCTCTTTCAACAGTATAAAAGTGCTGCTCTGTTCTTAATGCTGCTGTACAAATGGGAAAATAGTGTTGCAGAGACTGAGAGGATGAACTCCATTACTAAAACAAGCTTTGGCCCAAGTCCAGAATGTTTTGTCCGGGGGCACAAATCACCAGGTGCACTGCCAGGAGTGGAAACCTGGAGTGTGGTTGCTCGATCTCACTTCACATTTGCTGTGCCCTGTGCCTCAGAGAGGTACGTGTGCTGAGGAAATAATTATCTCTTTCAATTCAAGCCCCCATATTTTTCTATTTGATCGTTTCTTTTCTAGCGAATGACTCAGCTGCTAAAGCATCTTGACTGCTGAATGAGTTTTTTGCTCACCAGCTAAGGTTAGGAAATTGCTGCTTTCCACCCACTTCTGAAATTAAAAGCAGGGTTGCATTTACGTAGAGCAGCGAGGAACAAACCTGGCATCTCATCAAGACAGCTAAATTCTAGAGACAGGGCCAGTGGCACCTGAGCAAACACTGTGGAAGATGTAAAGGAGATACGAGTTCAAAAACACTTCCAGTTTAATAATGTAAGCTGATATCCTATGCCTGTAGTACATTCTATAACGATGTTGTCAACTCTCCTAAGGAAAGCTTGGCAAAAATGACACAGTGCTGTCTACAAAACAAACAGGGGGCATAAGAATTAACTCTGACATGCTGGAAGATATTTTGAGTCATATGGCGGTGTCAGTTTGTGTTCCCTGGCTGCAGTACAGCACAGTCAGTGGGATGCACTTGCCTTCCATTGGGGTTCAACCTGGAAGTGTTCTTGGGAGCCTCAATAGCACTGAGCCGTTGCATTCCCTTCACAGTCAGTATCACTGTATTTGCTTTGTGCACTTGGCAGCTTTGACTCAGTGGATAGTAGATATTCCTGTGCTAAATGTGTTTCCTTTTCACTAAGTTAAACATCTGGGGACATTCTGTCATGAAATGCACTTTGTGAATGTGACAAAACCAGTAAGGAAGCATTGTTTCACTACCTATTGGTCTTGCCAGTGTTCCCTTTAAGTTGCAGTTCAGGATGTCTTAGCACATGTGATTTTAGAGATGCTCAGATGGCTGCCATTCCCGGAGGCATCCATTCATTTTTATTGAGTCCATCTCCAGTCTGTGAAACTCATTCAATTCTTTCAGTATTCAGAGTACAAACATGGAAACAGCCCAGCTTTCGTGGAAACCCCAGGCTCCTCTGTGACTGAGGTTATTGAATCTACCTCCATCAGAGTGTGTTTTCAGGCTGATGTGTTTGCTTTTCAATGTGTCTTACTTCTCTTATTACCAACATAGTCCAGATGGTTCTACTGCTTCCAGGAGCCACTCAGTCACAGTAATAATCAGCTAATCCAATACCACCACCTTCTGGCTTTGCACTAACTTCATTGCTGTTATGAATAAACTTCCATTATGCTTTCTTGCTGTAGGTGATGGTAAAGGCATCACATTTTGTAGGACTCTGTTTTGTCAGCAAGTCGTGCTCCCTTTGGGACTCTAAATACCTTCTTTCACATTAGGAAATGGATTGTGTTTGAAGTGTCCTGCTGGGTATTTCTGTCCTGAGGGAGCAAGTCACCCAGCACCGTGCCAGCCAGGTACATACAATCCTCTCCAAGGACAGGATGAAGCTACTGACTGCAGAGCCTGCCCAGCAGGAAGAGCTTGCACCCAGGCTGGATTAGCCCAGCCTGACTCTGAGTGCTTACCAGGGTAAGCCTTGGTTGTTTTCTGTGCATTCCTATATGTCTGTACGTGTAGTTCATCTCCATTGTGGTGTCATTGGTTCTTTGGGTTGTTTTTTTTTTTTTTTGTTTTGTTTTCCATAGAGATTCCTCTGGAATGTTGAGGTTTTATTACAGTTTCTGGTAAATCCCTCTGACATGGGATGCGTTGGTAGAGGAATTTTCTGAAGTACAGCAGATGTGGCTGCTTTGTTTTTTTCCAGCTGTGCTGTTTATCACGTTATATTGGCTGGGCTCAGAGTTTTCCTCCCTCTTTCATTGAGCCATTGGCCCTGACCAACCTGCTGTGTTATTTCAGGTACGTGTGCCCAGTAGGATCGTCCAGCCCACAACTTCCCAGCAATGCCTGTCCTCCAGGAACAGTTGGCAATGGCTTTGACCTCTTTGATAAGTCCCAGTGTGAGACGTGTCCTGCTGGGTATTTCTGTGTCAGAGGTATGTGGTTTTATGGCAAAATGAATGGTGTTCTTTGGTACCTTGTGCCATGCATCCCCCCAGTAACTGAAAGTAGATCACTGAGTTATCAGTGATGGAAATGGGGAAAAAGGTGTCAGTTGTAGGGTTTGGCATTACTGCAGAGATGCTGTACCTTCTGAACAGATTGAGTTTAATTCTAGTCTGAGGTTTTCCTTTGGTGATAACTGTTGTTGATATTATTGATATTACTGCTTTCACTTTATGAAATGGAAGCAGCCGTTTTTTACAGTATCCAAATACTTTGCACGTTGATGGTCTCTTCAATTTAATGTCTGTCAGGTTTGGACACAGGCACCCTGCAGGGTTCTCAAGGCTGGAAATAATTGCTTTAGTAGCCAGTTCTGTGACAACCTCTTGTCAACAGAGGAAGTAATTATCTCATTTTGAATGGAGGAAAGGTGCAAAAGGAAAAGACTTGATGCAGCATCTTCCAGAGCTGAAAACAGACCAAGGGAATTAGATTGTCTGAAGCCAGTATGCTGCATAGTAGGCTACATTTCATCTCTTTATGTTTACAGGAACAGGGGGAAGACAGAAGCCTCCTGCTCCATGTCCAGTTGGGCACTACTGTCCACCAGGCACCAAGCATGCAGTGCAGCACAAGTGTGCCCCGGGCACCTGGAGCAACAGGACAAGGCTGAAATCAGCAGAGGAATGCTTGCTGTGCCCTGCAGGCTGGTTTTGTGTAGGAGGATCTCATGTCCCTTCTGGCATGTGCAGCTCAGGGCACTACTGCCCTCAAGGTAGGCAGCTGTAGCCAGAAATGAAAGAAATTTCCATTATTTCTGTCCTTACAAATGCTGTGGACTCTGATAAAGGCAGCACGTGGCTTTATTAGTTTATTTGCACCAAAGCATTTCGGTGTGTGGTTGGTTGTTCTGTGCAGTGAATACTTTAAGCTTGTACTGTTTGAACTGGGCGTATCGGCATCATCAATTCCTCTCCCTTCGTTTCCAAAGAATTAAGATGCCTAATGAAATGTCTGGTATGAATACAGTCCTAAAATCTTCCTGCTAAAGATTGGGCAGCATTTGCTAAATGGTGAATTTTTAATAAATATTTCCTGGTTTGTGCTCAGAGCTGTGGTCAGTGATTTGTATACATACATATGTGCATATATATATTTACACACATGTATATGTCTGTACTTCAGTATATATGTGTGTATATATGCATGTACACACATACACTTATGTGCACGTAAGGAAATACATGGTTATATGTAACTCATGTAAGTACTTAACAACAACAAAGAGCCGAGGGCATTATATTGCTTTCTCTTTTCAAAGCTTTAATAAGAATTAAGATGGTTGTTTGCTCATTTTTTGGGGGGAAGGTACGTGGAGAGGCACACAGCACCCCTGCCCTGCAGGAACTTATGGCACCAGGCTGGGAAGCAGCAGAGTGGAAGATTGTACTGCCTGCCCTGCCGGGGCGTTCTGCCCCAGTGGGACCTCCAAGCCAGTTCTTTGCCCAAAGTAAGTACACTGCATGTGCTGACATAGCTGTGGGTGATCCACGTGAGTGTTTCAGCACACTTCTTATAAGTAGTATCATTCTGCACCAGAAATGTTTACAAATTCATTTCACCTTGCTTCTTGCTGGGCAGTCCAGGAAGGTTTTCTCTGAATCACAGTTTCTTCCCTCCAGAAATGGTAGAAATCCTCCATATGAGAGGCTAAAAATGCAAACCAGAAACACATTGTCCTTTCGTTTGTCACTTTGCTACCATTGGTGACTCTTTCTACTGTTGTCTTTTCTCCTGTAGAGGAACTTACCGTGTGGAACATGGTGCAGGAGTGGCTGCAGACTGTGTCCCTTGCCCTGGAGGGTACTACTGCCCCAACCTTGGCACTGTTACACCTCGAACATGTGGTGCTGGCAACTTCTCAGTAAGCAGCAGTAATTTTATCTTACCATCTGTCCAACGTAAAAAGTGGATAATTTTGGTAAAAAGGGGAGCTAAAGGATATACCCCTCAAAGGAGGTGTTGGAACGAGGCAGTCTTCTTGCATTAGGAGTCTGGGTATTTGAGGAGATTGCATGCAGTGCTTTAAACAATGTTGTCCACCTGCGCTTGAGCCTTTAAGTAATGCAAGTGCTAGTCTAGGAAATGCACTGGGAATGTTCCTTGTGTTTCTGAATGATCAGGCTTGGCACTGCTCCAGACATGATGCTGGAAGTGCATCACATGCAATGTTCTTCTTGCAGTCACTCCCACTCCTGGAGCTTGCAGTAGCAGTCTATCCCCTTCATCCATCACTCACCTGCCAGTGTGCTGTTGGATAGATGCTTTGGATTTGGGTGATTTGTTTTAGTTTTCATTGTTGGTGTAAGCATTGCAGGGGAATGGCAGAGCAAACACCCATATTTAGTTCATGCTCTGAAAGAAGTATTGGATTGCAGTGCAGTTAAGCAGTCATTTGGCTGTAGAAGGTAAAACAGTGAGATGGAGCCCCAGAAGGGAATGGTGGATGGCACAACTGCTTCTCACAAAGTGGAGCTGAGACTCATTTCTCTGCCCCTGAACTGTAATGAGTAATTATAATGACAGTTGTTAGCTTTCACTATTGAAAGGGATATGTCAGTTTCTGACCATGCTATTTTTTTTATCACAGCACAAATTCTGTGGTTACCACTAGAACCATTCATTAAGATTGGAAGATAAATGATGAATGGGGATTTACTTACCTATGTCAAATGGACCTTGATTATCTCTCATTTGCACTTTGCAATTGAGTGTCAAGGGAACGTGTTTGTTTTTCTCTGTTACTGCTGGCAAAAGTGTTGGACTGACTGTTTTGAGGCTCAGAGCCTTTCACATGGATAACCCACAGGAAGGACAGGGCCTGCTTCATACTGCCAAGCACTCTTGCCTGCAGGGTGAATAAATACACTGAATTACCTGCGGATTGTTGTTTATAGGTTAGATTAGATGGAATTTTTAAAGGGACATCATTGTGTGTTGTAGGACCCAGGTTCTGCCTCCTGCTTGCCGTGCTCTGTTGGACATTACTGTGCTAGTGAGCACACCAGCCGGGAGGTGATGCTGCTGGCCATGGTTTGCCCAGCTGGTCTCCGATGCCCAGAAGGACAGGCTGTTGCTCCAGAGGCCAATGCGAACTCCTGCCCGAGGGGCTTCTACTGTCCCCAGGGAGATACTGTGAGTGCATCTGTTTTAGCCTTTGGGCTGCTTTTCTGTGTACATTCCCACTAATTGGAAAGGAATATTCTTGTAGCTTCATCTGTTGCATGTGGGCCTTATGGGGTGTGACAGTTCGTGTAAGACCTGTTTTTCTATTTTGTTTCAAGGGCTCAGATGCAAAGCCTTGCCCCAATGGGACCTATGGTAAACAGAAGGGACTCAGCAGTGCTGAGGAATGCTCACTGTGCCCTGCAGGGAAGTACTGCTACAGAGCTGGGGCTGAGCCTTCAGGAATTCCCCATCCTGTAAGCACAGCTTCTCCCAACTTTTTTTTCCAGAGGCTGTGGCTGTGAATGAAGCCTCCTTAATACATATTTTCCGTCTTTCCTTTACCTTTTGTCTGTCAGCACCTTCTATCTATGAGCTTTACTAATGAGATTATGAATTCCCTTTTTTCCCCTCTTTTTCTGCACCATTTTCTTGCAATAAAACTTTCAGGTTATTGAAATTGGTGATGAAGTTCGGATCTTTCTTTGCTGAACCTTAGCATATCTCACTTCCCTACCAGAGAAGAAGGACAAAGCCACCCTCGCTGTCTTTTTTGCTTTCTAGACTGGAGATTGTCCACTTGGCTTCAACTGCCCTCCAGGAACTGGATTCCCTTTCTCCTTCCCCTGCACCCCTGGATTCTTCTGGGTTAATTCCAGTGCAGAGGATGAAGACAGGTGCAAACCGTGTCCAGCTGGGTACTATTGTGACTCTCCTGCCATGACAGAGCCCAAAGCTTGCCCAGTAGTGAGTTGTTTTTCAGTGGTTATCTAGTAGAAGAAGATGTATGTGGGGGATCTGTTAAGTAGAAGAGTCCTGAATGCTGTATTAAGCTGACTTTGTCTTGCAGGGCTTTTACTGTGGTGAAGGCAGCTCTAAACCTGAGCCCTGCCCAGAGGGAACTTACAGTAACAAAAAGGGACTGTCTGGACCATCAGAATGCAGCCCATGTGGCCGTGGTTTCTACTGTGCTGCTCCAGGGCAAACTGGGCCAAGTGGTCCCTGTAAGGCTGGGTTCTACTGCCAGGGCAGGGCCCTTACTGCAGTAAGTCAAGCTTTTCTCCTTACCTATTTCTGTTACATTGTGGTGGGGTGTTTTTGACTCAGTGACTTCAAGAGCTGCAGTTTTGCACTGCGCTCATCTGAGTTTTTAGCAGGAGGGCCACTCTGCTGCCCTCCAAGGGAGCATAACCATTTTAGAGCTTTCCCCTCTAAACCCTGCCATCACCTTAACTAAAAATGTAGCTAGGTTGAATATCCAGGTGAAAAGTTCAGTGGAGTGAATCACAGTGGGATTGCCAGTGTGAAGAAGGTCATCTTTATTTCTTCTTTCTGTGTGTTTACTACATTCCCCTTAAAGAAGCATTATCTGTTCACTGTACAGCAGTGAAAGTCTCTATTTTTTTCTCCTTGGTGTTGCTTTTAGCCCAAATCAGTATGATGCCTTTACTATTTTAACCCAGTTTTCTCCTTACTTACGTGATGCCTTTTTCAATTGCAGTTGCCTACAGATGGTGTGACAGGAGATGTGTGCCCTGCAGGGGCATACTGCCCACCTGGGTCCCCTTTACCCATCCCCTGTCCTCCAGGAACCTACAGCAATGTGAGTGGGCTGAGAAGCCTTGGTCAGTGCTTGGACTGCCCACCTGGGTGAGTGCACTGTTTGCTGATCATGGCTCAGTTCTGTCTCACTGCAAAAGAACTGTTTAAACCTTGCATTTGTTGCCCAAGCAGCACAGCCTTACCTCCAGCCCTTTTGCAGTTCCTTCTGTTCCCAGCAAATATGCTGCCAGCATTCTCCAGTGCTACATACCTGTATTAGATGGCTTACAATAAAGAACTTGAACTGAGCTGCCCCCCAGCATTTGCTGTTCACTAGCATCTATCAAGACTCATTATGTCTGTAGTGCTGGATGGCCTGACCTAGCAACTCTTGCTTAAACATTCTCATTAGTACTGTTTGGATAGTCCTTTTTGTATTACCAGATTATATAACTCACCACTATGTTACATTCCTCTTAATGATGCCTTACACATCTGATTCTGGAAGAAGAGGTGTGGATTTAGCATTGGCTTTCACCTCTCCATGAGATGCATGCAGATTGTTAGTGATGAGCAGTCTGCCTTTCAGGTGGCTTTATCTTCATGCTGCTGTGACAGAGCATGCAAGATCATCTGGGGCTGGGCAGCAAAAGAGCTGTAATTTTTGTGCTTTCCTGGGATGGAGTTGTAGGTCTCCATGGGATGAAGTACAATGAGCTGAGAGAATCCACATTTTCCTGTCTTTTTCTGTTCTTTTTCACTCCTTCTTTTCCCTGGAGATGTAGGCAAGAAAAATGTAGCATGAGACAGCTCTGGAATTCATATTCTGTCTAAAAGCTGAAGGGAATGCCCTCAGAGTTCCTGCTTTTCTATTAACACCTGTATATTTCTAGTCCAGAGATGCAAAGAAGACTTGAAGAAAACCAACATTTGGGTGTTTGTGTGATCTTTATTCAGATCACAACAAATATGCATATGCAGCTTTGTGATTGTACAAGGGGAAATCCTTTCCAGGTTAAAGCTGCTGTACCTGGTCTCTATAAAGGATGCATGAGAAGTGATGTATATGCTCTGTAACTTCCTTTCAAGGCCTGTAAGTGATCAGGAATGAGGTCTCTGTGAGATCCCAGGTAGACTGAGAGGGATTTTTTGCATGGGCACTGTACTGACTAGTGACAAACTATTGCCACCCAAGATCTTTATTTTTCTTCCCACAACGCAAAGCCTTTATTGTGATGGGACCAATACCCGAGCTCCCACGGGACCATGTGAGCCTGGATACTACTGTACAGGAGGTGCCAAAAGTGCTCTTCAGCATGTGGTCATGGAAGGGCATTATTCCTCAGCAGGAGCTTTCAAGCCAGAGCCATGTCCTCTTGGCAGCTTCCAGCCTGTAAGTATTAAAGTACTGTGCACTCTAAGATGCTTGTGTGGTCTTCAGAGCCATTGTACAAGGATGTGAATAATCATTTGTGAAGTGTTCATAAGTAGATAGCTTAAAAAAAGAGGGACTTGGGTTTTCTGGTAAGCTGGGCAATCATTCCCATCCTTGTTTCTGCCTTGCAGCAGCAGAACTGTGCAGAGCTAGAAAGATTGGGGGTGGAACACCAGATCCACCAGTTCAGCCTGGTTCCTTGAAGCTAATCAGGCTAAGTTCCTAAGTTTTGTGTAGTGCTAATTCAGCAGTGAGCTGAGGAAGCTTTACTCTAGCATAGGTGAATTGCCACGTGCATAGTTGTGCAGCCCTTTACTGCCATGTTAGATACGGGCTGTGTCTACTGCTGCTTTACTGACACAGGATGCTTTTCAGATGCCACAAATCTTTTGTTTTTTGGACTGCTGTTCTAATGATTCAGGTTGTTTATTTTGCAGCAGGGGGTGTCTGGGAGCTGGTAGAATGTGCAAAGCTGCTTTGTTCACATTGTAAGCAATATCACTGCACACCCACAATGTTCTTTCTTACGTTCCCTTTTTAGGACCGTGGTCAGTCTCGCTGCAGGGGCTGTCCAGAGGGAGCATTCTGCAGTGAGATAGGCCTGGCTGAAACCCAGCCTTGTCCAAAAGGGCATTTTTGCTTGGCTGGAAGTTCCTTGCCTCTTCCTTGTCCAGTGGTAAGAATCCAATATCACTGTGTTCTTTAAATAGTAGTTTTCAAAAGGTTTCCAGTCCCTTGGAGGAGGGTATTCATTAGTTCTCTGTTTCTGTGCAGGGAATGTATACAGATGTGCTTGGGGCAGGTTCATGTAAGCCCTGCCCAGCAGGCAGGTACTGCAGCATGGCAGGTCTGACTGAGCCAGAAGGACCTTGCCAGCCTGGATATTACTGCAGCCAAGGATCCAGCAGCTCCTCACCTGTGAGTACTCCATACCTTGTGTTGCTGCAGAGCGTTAGGCTCTACAAAAGATTTCATGGGCTGCATCAATCTCATTTCCTTTGCTTCAGGTTGGCCTTTCGTTTGGAGATCTTTGTCAACCAGGATATTACTGCCCTGCTGGCACGACACACTCAAAAGAGATGGCATGTCCTGCTGGCACCTGGAATGGCCAGAGGGGAGCCCAGGATGCCTCTTGGTGTCTTCCTTGTGCCCCTGGGTTCTTCTGCAGTCTGTCTGGCCAAGATGCTCCCGTAGGACTTTGTGCACAAGGTGAGACAAAACCAGAACTTTTTAGCTACACAGAAATTCAGGGGGATTTTCTGCATGACAGAGAAGACTTGTATGCTTTCTTCAAGGCTACTACTGCACAGGAGGGGCAAAGACTGCAAAGCCAGAGGATGGTGTCACAGGAGATATCTGTCCTCGAGGACATTTCTGCCCTGCAGGTTCAGCAGCTCCTTCTCCCTGCCCCAGTGGTGAATACAGCAATGCAACAGGTCAGGAAGTGGATCATTGCAGTCTCAGCATGGCTTGGGAAAGCTAGAAGCTAATCCTGTTTTTTGTCTGCATCCAAGAATAGCAGTTGATACTGCTAACTGTTACAAGCAGTCAGTATTTTTCTTGGGGCAGAGGAAGGGATTCTTGGTTGTTTTTTTTCCTTCCTTTTATTCCTCTGATGTCATGTGGAGAATGCAATTCACCCCCATAGCATGCAGGTCAAATGCAGTTGTAGCAGTGAGACTAAGTGAGCTATTAACCCAATTTCCTCACTGTTCTGCCTGCCACCTACCGGTGTGATGTGAGGTTACTGGGACTCGAGCTGGAGTGGATCTGAGAAACTTGCTGGATGGAAGTCACCAGTCATTGCCAGAGGGCTTGCAGAATAACTGTTGCATCTGCTGCTGCTTTAAGTGCACAGCCTGGTAGACGAAAGTTGTCTGTGTGGCATCTTCTTCCAGTTCACGACTTATTTCCTCTGTAGGTCAAGACAAATGTTTTCCATGTCCTGCTGGGTTCCACTGTCCTAAAGGACTGCGACGCCGCTGCCCTCCTGGCTTCTATTGCCCTCAGAGAACAGGAATTAGTTTTTATCCTTGTCCCCCTGGGACTTTCAACCCCTCTTATGGACTCAGCCAGGCTGAGAGGTGCCAGAAGTGCCCTGCAGGTGAGGAGATGGCTGAGTACACTTTCTACATGGAGCAGCATCAGAGGGTGATCTCTGTGTATCTCTTCTCCTGATCCACTGAGATATTTTTCCACTTGGAAAGGCAAGCATAATAATTCCCAAAGTAGATTCTAGCAGTAGCACTGGTATTGTCCCCCAGTAAGCCAAATTTGGTGGCTTTTTTTATCCTTTGTAGGTATGAGAATGGTTTGGTTTTACTCTCGGGGTTTCCCAGAGGAATGTGATTTGAACTGGAATGCTGATGTTGAGGGATCAGCTCCCTCCAAGCCTTCCTCTTTGCCTTCCAATCAGTATATGCAGCACACCAGCCCTCCTGTTTTGTACTGATCCTCTTTTCCCTTTGTGGTGTTCCAGGAATGTTCTGTGGAGACTGGGGACTCTCCTCTCCAAGTGGACCCTGCTGGCCAGGGTTCTTCTGCACAGCAGGTATCAAATGTAATGCTCACAAGGGCCAAGGAGAAGTGAAAAAGTAGAAAGCTATTGTCTTTAGGAACAGTTGTAGACATTCTCTGTGCAATCTCTCCCTGGCTTTTCCTGCAGAGTGTGCCAGGATAGCCCCAAGGAATGTCAAATCAAAAACCTGCTTTCTGAGGCCAGTAGAAGGACTTGGGAAAAGAAGCAGTTATTCTCTTCCAGCTATAGAAATTATTCTTTAGGCGTGTGGGGCAAACTGGTCTACAAATAGCAGCCCATATCATTCAGGAAACCTTATGTCTATCTTCTTGATGTAGGAGCAAGTGTCCCAAACCCTGATGGAGCCACGAACACCAGCACTGGTGGCCCATGCCCACCTGGACACTTCTGCCCAGCTGGCACAAGTATCCCACAGCAGTGCCCTGTGGGCACTTACTCAGACAGGTGAGCTTCTGTATTTGCCTTTTCTTTTTGTTTTATCCTTCTGTCCCTATTGCTGACTATCTGGTGCCTGCCTTACTTGCCTACGGAGTCCTTTACTCCATTAAGGTACAACTCAGTAATGCTCATTAAACACATCCTTGCACTGATTATGAGAGTCTCATGGTTGTTTTCACTTGGCCAGGGGTGTAAGCATTGAGGGTCTTCCTGCTGAACTTGTACCCTTGCCAACAAAAAGCCTGCTTATGTCTCTCTACAGGCCATACATGTGGCAGGAATCCAGCTGCATGGCATGCCCATCTGGCCATTACTGCAGCTCTGCTGCCCTCACAGCACCCTCAGGGCACTGCTCAGCTGGGTTCTACTGCCTGGCTGGAGCTTCCTCTCCATCACCACCTGGTGAGTTGTACTGTGTGAACATCAGTGTCTTCACCTGCTTGTGTCCAATAATTAGCAACAAGACAGCTTTAAAAAAGCCTCCTTTTGCAGCAGTACTCCTGCATCTGCTTCTTCTTAGTCATTTAGGCAAATGAATTAGTTTTGTTTTGGAGTGCATACACTCCAAGGATGAAAAAGTAGTCAGTCCACCAGTCTGTTACTGAATGAGACACTTCCATTGAACACTGGGAGAGGTCTGGCCACCAGCATACAATGCAAGTGGTCTGATTCCCACTTACCACTTTATTGTGCATAAGAAATAACAGTTTCTTAGAGAAGAGTTCCAGGTCCTTAATGGACAGCTAAATATTCTCCAGAATTCAGCTAAATGCTGGAAAGCTGATGTGCAAAAATACAGTTCACTGTGGCTTTTCCTTTGAAGCAAGGAGGAAAAGCACAAGGTGACACAGCACTGAACAACTCCAGAGCTGAGATACTGTAGTCTGTGTTGTGGCCCCTTTTGATCTGTCAGATCCCAAAAGACATAACTGAGGAGATCCTCATCAGTTAGCTTCATCTGTTGGTGTTGTCCCTTGCTCAGGGGTTCCCTTTTTTTGCTTTGTCTTGTACTCTTGTGTTCTAGGTGTGTGGGAGGCAGGAGGCCCCTGTCCTGTGAGCCATTTCTGCCCAGAAGGAGCCAGCTTTCCCTTAGCCTGCCTTGCAGGGACTTACAACAACCTCACCAGACAAGCTGCATGCTTCCCTTGTGCTGCAGGGTACTACTGCCCAGAAAATACTACCAGCTACAGTGTGAATCCTTGCCCAGCTGGCTTTTACTGCCCTAAAGGTGAGATGGGCACAGGGGATGAGGTCGTCCATTGACCAGGCTGAAACATCTTCTTCTTAAAGGCAGGAAGTGGTCCCTGTAAAATAAATCTTCAGGGGTCAATCTGGTTCTTCTGTGTAGAAGCACCCAAGCTCTTACACCGTAGGCAGGGCTGTTATTTTAAGCCCCTCCTTTGGTATATTAAGCAGTGCACAGAGGTTGTCACAGCTGCAAAGGCCAAGCTGTGCATTGTGAAAGTCAGCACTGAGATAAATTGGCAACAGTATGACATAGAATCGTAGAATCCTTAGAAACAGGAGGTAATGCTGTGGGATTAATGGCCAAGATATTGCAATCTGTGAAAGATTCTCTCTTATTTCAAAGGAACCAGGTTTGCTACTGAGTTTCCCTGTCCCCGTGGCTACTTTAACCCTGATTCCATGACACAGAGCTTGGACAGCTGCTTGCCCTGCCCACCTGGGCACTACTGTGGGAAGGAGAACTTGACAGCTCCATCAGGCAAGTGTGATGCAGGTGAGTCTGGATCTGTTTGGCTGCTGTAGTGCACAGCACGTAGAGGCAGTGTCTTAGGATGCATCCATCAGCCTCTCCATTTGCTTGAGTCACTTGGCTGTAGGTGTGTAATACCACTGAAGGCACCCTGGGAATCCACTTGCTTTCAAATGGGTGCAGAATTCATGTAGGGTGTATCTGGTAGCCATGAACAGTAATCTGTCTGCAATTCACAGCCTGTTCTGGCAGGAGAATTCAGCCCCCTGCCACATAGCAGTAGTACTGAACTCAAGGTTGTGAGACCATCTTGGCTGATATGGTGCCTCACAAAAGGATCACTATATGCACTTGTTTTCAGGTTGGTTTTGCATCTCTGCTGCTTGGACCTCACAGCCTTTTGATCTGGATAACTACACCAGTGCCAACTGCCTCTGCCCAGCTACTGCTACTGGAGGGAAGTGCATCGCTGGTTTCTACTGCCCTAGAGGAAGCCCAGAGCCTCTGCCCTGCCGTCCTGGGTTTTACTGCAATGCTTCAGGTTGGTGTCTGTTTTTGAAAAGGGAGCTGAAATGCAGACATATTTGTTACTTAGGAACTCAGTAGAAGACCTAAAGTTAAATCCCGATTGCAGGTGATAAACTCAACTTTGCTCAGAATTTTCTGTGTATCCTTAAGCTTCTGTGGCCACGTTCCCATCCTCAGAGGAACAGTGCAAATGCATCTTTATAGGTTTGTAGATACAGAGGGCCAAGGTCCTCTGTCGGATTCCTCTGTATTCTCTGAATCTGCAGAGCCTGCAGATACTGGGATGCAGACTGCTGATTCATTTTCTTCTGTTTCTTTTCTGTCCTTTCAGTATTCTTTTGGTGTGTTAAATGTGATCTGTTTTTATCCTGATACATTCATAGAGCTGCAGAGGTGTTTGCAAGATGTCTTTGGTGTCTCTCTGGACTGGCACAGAACGGGGCTCAGGTGTTAGCTTGTCATGTTCACCCTGAGGGAAGCTCCAAGTTGGTTTTTCTCCTGCTTTTCTTCCTTTGTTCTCATGCTTGGGTTGCCATTACCCTCTCTGTCTTCCAGGTCTGTCTGTGCCTAGTGGGGAATGTACTGCTGGGTTTTACTGTAAAGGTGGAGCAGTTCTCCCTAATCCAACAGATGATGTGACTGGGAATATCTGCCCTGCGGGGACTTACTGCAGTAAGTATCCAGCATCAGTCAGGGACAGCAATTCCTTGGCATTTAATATCTGGAATCCTGATGGGTGGTTCTGGGAGTATGATAGCCAACTTGCTGGGCTCTGATCAGGGTGCCCTGAGTCCCAGATTCTTCTCCTGGTTGCTTACCCATACTCTGAAAGTACGGAGATATTTGTCTCATTGCTTGAAGCTGTCTGTCTTCAGGATGTGTTTAGCTTCACATCCATTACCCACTACAAAATAAAGTTAATATCTGTCCTCTTCCATGCAGTACTACTTCACTTCTGAGTGAAAATAAGATTCCACTGCTGCCCTTTCCATGCTGCACTGCACTCGTTCAGCCCCCAAATGCAACAATATTTGTTCTTTCACTATTCATTTCTTTCTGCCTCGTTTCTCTTCTCACAGCTGCAGGGTCAGCAGAACCCAAGCTGTGCCCAGCTGGCACCTTCTCCAGCCTGCCAGGGAGAAGAACACTTTCTGAGTGCCAGCCTTGTCCCTCTGGCTTCTACTGTGAGGGTCCTGGTCTCAGTGTCCCCACTGGAGAGTGCTGGGAAGGTGAGGGAATTCACTGAGTGCTCTGCACCCTTTGTACAGGAGCTGCCTGCCTGTTTCTGGCTCTTGAGCTTTTTTATGGCTGAAAGTTTGGAACTCGCTGCCTGGTTTTCTTCTCTTCACCAGAGAATAATTTGTGGCTCTGTGTGAAAAGACTGTTAGAGGTTCAGGCAACTCTGACATAAAAGCAGAAGCGGTGACTTCTCTGTATTTTGTCTGAACAACTGAAATACCACCAAGGGAAAACTCTCACAGCCAGTGGGAAAGTAATCCTTGACAAGTTTCAGTAACTGGAAGGAAGCAGAGCTCAGTGCTGCATCCCTACGTGTTTCCCCACACCACCCATAGCTTTTATCCTGTGTATTGAAGATCACCAGATGTTAAATTTCCTTCTTATGAGCACCACAACTGGGAATGCTTTGATGTGGATTCGTCCCAGCACAGTTGTAGTTCTGATCAATAGGAAGTTAAGGTCAGCAATAGATTTATTTCTTGAGTGGCCAGTGAGGTGCTTGGTGACCTGGGAGAACCTGCTAGGAGCTTTCACTTCCAAAGAGCAGCAGCTCGTGCCTAGTACATCTCAGTGACTAATTTGTCTTTCTCCTCTGTCTTCTCTGCAGGCTATTACTGTGACAACCAGCAAAGGCCAGTTACTGATTTTACCCTTTACCCCTGCCCTCAAGGCTTTTACTGCCCCCCAGGGACAAAGAGGAGCACTCAGTACAGCTGTCCAGTGGGAACGTTTGGCCCAAGGCAAAAACTGAAAACTGTCAAAGAATGTCAGAGCTGCCCACCAGGAAAATACTGTGAATTGTCTGGACTTGCTGCCCCCACAGGTATAGTGCTGTTCTGCATATGTTCACAACAACTGGAGTCCTGCTGACGGCTGTTGGCTGCTGCCAGAGATTGAAGTAAGGACAGTAGGGTTCTTTTCTCTGCTAAGATGATCTGTTACTTGTTGAGAACATTCTGAAAAGAAAAAACATCTCTTTTTTGTATGCAAGAATGGAGAGTGGGACTGCAGAGCTCAAAATGTGTGCTGAAGTACTTGCCCAAACACAGAGGCAGTGCTTGGTGTGAGCTCAGTGCTTCTGTTTAGGAGCTGTCAGTTTGTTATCTGTTACCAGTTCTGCACTCCATCCAGTTAGAAGCAGCTTCTCCCCTAATATCCATTTCATCGTTAATTTGTGGAGTATGCAGTGGTGAAGCGCCTTGTCATGGCCTGTATTCCAATCTGTATTCAGAAATTTATATTTATGCACCTATTGAGTGCTTTTTGTGTATTGTTCTGTTTTTTAGGAGACTGTGCTGAGGGATTTTGGTGCAGAATTGGTGCCCGGGTAAGAAATCCTCAAGATGGAGAGTCAGGATTTCCTTGTCCTCCTGGTCATTACTGTCCAGAAGGTAACGTGCTTCACTGAAGCATAGCTTTTCATTTTCTGTATAAAATATGAGGTGACATTTCCTCTCTCTGGTGTAACTTATTTTGCCAGGTGCACCACATCCTGTAAAGTGTCCTCCTGGCACCTGGTCTGGCAGTGAAGGCAGGAGGAGTTTGCAGGACTGCCAGCCTTGTCCTGGAGGGCACTATTGCAACAGCTCTGGACAGAGAGCCCCCACAGGACACTGCAGCCCAGGGTAAGTAGAAGATTGAACACATTTGTGTAGTCTGGAAGGAGATATGTTCTACAAAAGGTCTTCTTAACCCTCTTGAAACAATGAGAGTGTGTTCCTGTATTTGCTCCTGCAGGTATTACTGTGTCAGTAGGGCCCAGACCCCAATGCCCACTGATGGACTCTCAGGAGCTCCGTGTCCCCTGGGTCATTTTTGCCCTCTTGGATCCAGGAGTCCAGAACCATGTCCTGCTGGCTCCTATATGCCACAGACCCATGGAGAGAAGTGCCATGCTTGCCCAGAGGGTGAATACTGTGTCCCTGGTGAGCAACCAGAGCCATGTCCCCAGGGTAAGTTAGGGTTTCCCTGTTGGGCTTGATTTTCTGTAGTTTTTTCAGAGACTGCCAATTCTGATCAATTGTTTTTTTTCCCAGGGCATTTCTGTCCCAAGGGCACAGCTCTTCCAATGGCTTGTCCAGCAGGATCGTATAACCCCTCGCAAAGGCAAGCCAGCTGTCTTCCCTGTCCCCAAGGGTAAGAGTGAGAATGTGACATTAGTGTTGTATGCAGAAATAAAGAACTGTTGGAAGTAATGGTTTATCCAGTCACCTTGGCAGTGTGAGACCAAGCAAAGTCCTAAATCCATGTACGACTGCTCTGGAAGGGAATTTAGATGAGAGATCTGTTAAAAGCAAGGAAACCATTGGAATTAACTTCTTTCATGTCTTGCAGTAAGAGATGGCAGCTGTTCCCTTGGCAACAGGCAGGCATAGTCCTGATGTGGGGAAAGAGAGTCTTGTGTATCAACCTGATGCTGAGACTGGCATGTCCTTAGGGGATTCATCTCCAATTACTAACTGGATTTGACCTTGATTAACTGTTACAAGCTGATGATTCACAGCCTGGATGTGTTATGACTCAAGTTAAGAAAATTATGTCTCTGTGGCTTTTGCAATTATGCCGTCAATTTG